TTGCCCACATTTATCAAAAGAACGTTAAGACCATCGGAAATTGGATTAATGTGTACGAGCGGACAGGGACGTACCAGCGGGTAGACGCAAATGCTATTCGAAAATTCACAACTGCTCATCGGGAGTGGCTGTGTAATTACTACGCAGTCCACCCCTTAGCTTATCTGGATGAGGCCCGTGATGCATTTGTTCGTGCACACCAACTGAGCATTTCTATATCATCTGTGTGGCAGATTATTCACGATGGGGGCCTTACAAGAAAAGTTCTCGAACGGAGGGCTATGCACATCAAAGAACTTGATGTGTTCCGGTTTGTAGAAGAGCTCAGTCATGTCAACTGGTTCTACCGTAACCTTGTCTTTCTCGACGAGGTTTCTTTTGACAACCGGGGCATGATCAGAAAGCGCGGATACTCGCTAAGAGGGCAAACAATAGCAATACGCGGAGATTTCCAGCGTAAACCAAGAGTATCGGTGCTGGCGTTCATGTGTGTTACCGGTATTCTCGATTACTATAACTGCGATGGGACTTTTGATCGCGTGCAGTTCTTCAACTACTGTCGTGATTTCGCTTACTCAGAACGGGGGCATGTACGCCAGTATCCTGGCTCAAACTCTGTCTGGATAATGGACGGTGCCTCAATTCATCGTGATCCTGAAATCATCCACTTCCTACGGAGCGTTGGAATCGTACCAATATTTTTGCCTGCTTACTGTCCATTTTTCAACCCAATCGAATTCATGTTCGGATACATCAAGCAGTCTTTTAAGAGACACTATAATGAGTCAAGCAGCAATGATCTTTTACCATTTGTGGTAGAAACGTTCGATCGATTCATTGGCTTCGATATGGCCAAGGTATTTGAGCATTGCGGCTGGAAACGGGAAGGATATTTTGACCCTAGTGGGTCACTGGAAAAAGAAACACGACAGTGTCAGTTTTCTGAGAACAGCGAATTGCAAGCAAACGAAGGAAGTGAAGCGCTAGGTTTTACGACAAGAGAGCTGGTCGAAATGTCTGAATGCTAAGCGAAAAATAAATTTCCTGCTTCGAACTTACTCTTGGTGCTCAGTATCCTCAATATTTTCCATTGTAGAGGTCGGATCAAGGACATCACCAGCATCAGGAAGAGGGATATCAGCAAGAAATCCCTCAATCGTGGACTTACGCACTTCCAATGCGTGCCTTTGGTTTTCTAAGCGGCGCCCGTATGCTTCCCATCCCTTTCGGAGATCTGCGTTATCAGCTAGAGCAGCTTCGATCGTGTCTAGTGCCACACGTGTCGACCTAGTCAGATTCACCAGGTGTTCGTGGACTTGCCCGTCGGAAGGACTTAGATAACGTTCCAGTCTAGAAGGTGGGTTGTCCAGCAAAGCAGCATCCCAGGTAGAGCGGTCCAAGTTACGCATTATTTCGTTGGCCCACATTCTCCATACTGGCGCACTTGCTTGGTATGTGTTTCCCCAAATTTCTTGCAATCGCCCCACTATCTCACGAACAGATATCTCTGCTGCAGCACCAGAACGATCGGTGTGCTGCGGGCGAATGCATGCCTGCATAAACTCGTCCAGAACTCGCGCGTTGGGGATCCCCAGCCCGTATTCATATATCATCAATGTTACAGTGTTCCCACGTTGGGATATGGTCCACCGGTTCCAGAGCTCTGGTGTCTTAGCTGATGGAACGATACGGCTGTTAGCTTTGAGCTGCATTACACTGCTCCATGATGTTTCGTCAGGGCGTTCAACTGACCAAACATCATCGACGTTTTTAGCTTGTCCTTTGACGTGGCAGCTAAACTTCTCCCATAACTTGTGCATGATCTCACTAAAAGAAGCACCATTAGCAGCAAAAATGTCCAGCTGCTTGCCGGACGAATCGCGTTGACCGACTGTAGTCTTGACAATCCCTTGGACTACCAGCTGCAATCGATGCTGGTCGGCGTTTCCGGTCGAAGCATCTAATGATACACGAGCCCGCTGGCCTCGAGAGATATCTGAAGCTTGGAACGCTTGCGGAGGCGTTCTCTCACGCAGAGGGTACGGTGAAACACGAACCGTTAAGGGCGAAGTCGAGGATACTGCAGTTCGCGAAATAGGCTCGTTTCGGGGCGGAGAAAGCCTATACTCTGATAAGGCGTCGTGCCCGACACTCGAGCTTGGTCCTGTAGCAAAGCTGCGATCTTCAACGCCCTCAATCATATTGCCGATTGGGGCAGGTCGCCATATTATACTTATTGAGATGCATGAAAAATGCTATTACGTAGGTTGCGCGATTGCTTGCGCACGGAAATTTTGAGTAGAAACCACAATAACGGTTTCTCGAAGGAACCTGCTCGGTTCTGACGCATTTTATTGGCTTATAAAGGTCCTGGTGCTTTCTGTGACTAATCACATAAATGATGATACACGCGTGACCAATCAGTTAAACCAATCTGTAGTACTTATGCAGGAAATAACACAATACTTGTCTGGTCCGAAAAAGAATTAACAGTTCCTTAAATCTGCGATAACTTCGGTCCTACAGCTCCAACGGAAGCGTGGATGAGCTAGTTTGAAAGCTCTGCTTACGTAGCGTCAGCACGACTTTTTCTATGAGCAAATTTCCCGCCAATTTTCCAATGACCATATAAATTATCACGTTTTGGAGGGGTGGATTTTTTTTCTCGCTTTGACGTCAAAAATTATCAGACTAAACTTTAAAATATACTAGAGAGCCTTAATCTAGTGAAATATCACTAAAAGTAATTGAATCCATTTTCGTGTCAATTACTCTCAATCCGTGTGCATACAAATCCTCAGATGAACTCATTTTAACCAATCGTCTCCTGGACATTGACCAATCACACATGCGAGGTTTTATAGAAAAACCTAACTGCTAATTCTTTTTCGGACCGGAGAAGTACGCTCCGGCTAAGCACACAGCTGAGACTCTGCATCACCAAAATACCAAGTGATGTGTATGGCACTGTATCTGGCAGTCTGTCAGTGCCGAATATTGAAGCTGTCGACTCGACATATAGAAGTAGCAAAAGCCACAGCATTCACTGCATGTACCCACTGCCTTGGCCTAACGGGTTATTATTCTAGGCGTTAAGATACAGTCTGCTAGCGTACTGGTACATTGTATCGTGCCTATTGGAACGATATAAGCCTTTGCCACCGTTTAAAATGTCATTTGAGGCGTTATTGCACGTTCTTATCTAATTGACGTATAAACACTCACTGCCAACACTGCTACTAGGCAGTCGGCCGCTCTAAAATGGGCCCGCATTATATAAAACCCTTTTTGGTCAAGTGGGGCAAAATGATGGTCTTTCCTTTAGTACTAATCGTGTCAACAGCTAAACCGGGCAAAATGCCCCACTTGAATATTATTTGTGTGTTGACGAGACGCAAAACGCCCCGCCTACTTTTACTGCAAGGATTTGGGGAAGATTCGCAGAAGCACCGTAGTTTACAAAAGGAGGCAAAATGCGCTAACGACTTAGGTTTCTATACTATAGTTTAATTTGTCAATGTTGCCCGTTCACGAAAGGGTTAAACTGTTCCTCAGCGCACAGCAGTTGCAGTTTGCTGTAATCACACCGATAATTCGCCGCCAATGATGAGCATATTTATAATTGACTTTCTTTGAGCAAGGAGTTTCCTTCAATAGTTAACTCCTTTGATTGCATGTTATGATAATTGCTTTCACGTCATCTCTCTTTAATGGTCCGTATACGGTATCTCGAAACGCACACCCGAGTAAGAATAACAATCCGAGTAGAACATTCTCTGATATTTATTTCAGTGAATCCCTGCTCACCCAAAATTCAGGCAAACGTACGAAACGGAACTTACTTGAAAAGACTTTAAATAAACATACCTCAAGGTCACATTTAGACTGATGTAAATGTTCGGACTTGGAATAATTCCTCTCATAGAACAATTTCAATTTGTAGACTTCTGAAAACTTGACAGTAATAACACCATTTTTGCCTACTTTGTCCGAAATGAAGAGTGAGTGCTTCAGCAACTCGTTATACTTAGGGTTTGCGAGATAAATTCCAAAGAAAATGCCGTGTTTGCATACCGGTAATGAGGAACAAATATTTTCATAAATTATGGTAGATTGATACTTTAGCAATAAATTATTTATTGGATTCGTGAAGTCGACGAAATAAATAAGAAGTTATACTGGGAGATAGGTAGCGTAAGCTAGCTATGGGAAGCCCAACGAGGAATAATTTGTCGCTAACTGGGTCAACGTCATGCAACATGAATATGTGGTCACATCGCAATGCTTTGTAAAATCAAGACTTCCAAATTAGGTGATTTGTATGGAATTTTCGTGCAAAAATCAGCAAAGAACTCCATATACAAAACACCAAGCTTACATAAGGTAAGTTAAAAAAATGACAATCATGAATTCATCGTGCATTTTGCAGTAGGGAGCGATTGCGACGAAATTCATTTATAGATTCTGTCCATGTTGGCATCAACAGTTTTCACAATCGCGAAGCATTAAATTCTGTTTTATTTGTGTTTTTGTGCGGTTCATGTATCGAAAGGTCAGCCCCGTGATCATAAATGAAATGTACATATTTCGTGGATTCGTCTTAGCTGTGAATTCACCAGCACCTAATAAATGTTTGGTGGTATGACTGTGCTTGGACATTTTTCATTCACTCGAAAGCTTGTACTCAGCTTAATCATGCAATGGGAACATCGATTTATAAACCTCCGTGTCGGACTTCCAAAACATCTTAATATATTTAAACCGCACGACCCCCCTTCCTAGTTCTATCTCCCAGACGCATCGTTGCACAACGAGTCTAGTTGACAAGACCATGCCATAACCGGGAGCCCTGGTTAATACCCGGCGGATAAACCGATTGCTATTTGTTTCCTTGCCTGTGATCGTGCTCTATTTCTCAACCACGTAAGAGCTGACAGGCCAGGCATTAGTGAAGCTGCAGGAATGAATAGGGAGGTATAATACGGTCAGAATGTCTTGTGCTATGCTGTGTTCAACGTGTAGACACTAGAGGACGCTACACTTTCGCGGAGAAGTGTGGCGTAAGCGCCGTCTTGAGCTTGGAACAACTCCGAGTGCGTGCCCTGATCCACCACTTGCCCATCTTTTAGCACGTAAATGAAATCCGCGTTTCTAACCGTGACCGATTCCGAAGGGTGAGCTGCTATCACAGTCGTTCGACGTACGCGTTGGGCCACGATCGTGTCGAGTGCTTGTTGGACTGCGATCCTCTCGCTCTCAGCCCCTAGGGAGCGTGTAGGTTCATCCAAGAGCAACAGTCGAGCGTCTTGCAGTACGGCGCGAGCGAGAGCGATCCGTTGTCTCTGACTAGGAGTGAGCTGAAGTTGGCCGCCTACACGCGTCGCATAACCTTCTGGAAGACTCGATACAAAGGCGTGGGCGTGTGCGACTTCAGCAGCACTGACGATCATCTCCAATGTCGGTGGCGCTGCCATCCCATACGCGATATTCTCTGCAATCGTACCTAAGAACAACGTGGGCTCGGAGCCCACAAAAGCCACTTGAGCACGTAGCCACGACACATCTAGAGCTCGAATATCGACCCCATCCAGCATCACACGCCCACAATTCCCTGACGTAGACGTCAAATCATAGAAACCTTCAATAAGAGCAAAGATCGTCGACCTCCCAGCGCCTCGAGGTCCACACAGCGCCACAGTTTGTCCAGCTGCCACATGCAGTGAAAGACCATCGAGAACCATCGAACGAGGCTGATTGGCGTACGAGAAACGGACCATCTCGAACGAGACACTTCCTCTCGCCATGGGAGTCTGAGGAATCGGGTGACGCTCTCCGTCTAGAGCCGCAGCTTCGTTGCATCCACGAGCGACGATGGCTGCGTCTCGGAGAGCGAAGATAGTGGCGCCAGCTTGCAGCGCTCTGTCGGTTCTGGTTAGCCAGGCCACAGGAAGCCCCAGAGACGCAGCAGACACGATCACAACGAGTAGCGACGTCACTAGTTGTCGGAAACTAGCGTCACCGTAGTGCACTAGCACGCCCCCTAACCAGCAGGATAAAGCACAGGTCGCTACTGTGACCACCGCACTAAAGCCACGTCCCACCGCTTCGAGATGCGTCTGACGTCTGATACTCTGTAGAGGGCGTTGGAGCAGCGCGTCAAAGCTGGAACACCACGAGCTCTCGAGTCCCAGCGTCACCACAGCGCGACGATTGCGCAGAGCTTCGTTCACGTGGATCTCCACCGCCTCGTCGGTCGCATTGTGCGTCTCTAAGGGGGTGAAACTGCGTTGGTTGTGGATGGAATGGCCGATTAGCAGCAGTGGCAGAGCTGCTAGTAACACGAGCGAGAGCATCCAGCTCCCGCTCCAGAAGGCGACGACGAACGTGGCTGTCAAGGTCGAGAGTATCTGGACCTTGTACCCTTGCACGCGACCCACTGCCAGTGACGCAGTAGCCGCCTGTGTAGCAAGAGAGTCGACTAATTCTTTCGTGTTGTACTGGTCAAAGAAAGGCAGCGGTTGAGCTAGAAGCGACGTGAAGTGAACGTCTTGAAGATGAGAAGCCACACGCTCCGCTGCAGCGTCCAAACACAGCAGTTGGATGCTCTGGCACATCACCACAGCTGCTGCCCCTGCAGTCAACAAGAGTCCGTGGCTCAAGACAAGAGGACGCAGTTCCTGGACCAAGTCTGAAGTCTCGACAATCGTCGTGTCGTGCTGAGCCATGTCCGCCACCACCTGACTGGTTAATACTCCCAATAGTGGCCCACCAAGACCGACAAGAGCCGAAGCAGCGAGTCCGAACGCCAACAACTTGCGCTCCGGACGCGCCAACGCTTTGATGTCTCGCTCCGTGAGCTTCGTGGGTGACGTGGGTGAGGATTTGGATACATGTTGAAGTCTTTGTGGCGGCTGATTGGTCAAAAATTGCTCTCTTACGGGACTCTGTTGGAGGAGATGGAGACGGCGATAGAAACTGTTTCTAAGCTGTAACAATTCCACATGTGTCCCCTGCTCCATAACTTTGCCCCGTTCAAGCACCACGAGCTTGTCTGCGAACTGTACCGCTGCAGCTCGCACCTGACTGGTACACAAGAGCATCGTGGTACTCCCAGCACCCACAGCTCCGCCGAATCGCGACAGTAACTCTTGCGGACTGAGTGTAACCTCGTCCAGTAGCAGTAACTTTGGCTCTCGTATCAATGCTCGAGCCAGAGCGACGCGTTGTTTCTGCTGTGCCGTGAGCTTTACGGCACCTTCTTCGCCTACGCGCGTGTTGTAGCCATCTGGTAGCGACAAAATGAAGTCGTGGACGTCTGCGCGTTGCGCTGCGTTGATCACGCGCTCCTGGATGCGGTCCGAGTTTCGTCCAGTCAGATCACGCAGAGCTACTAGCCCCATGGCGATATTATCTAAGAGGGAGGCTCGGAACAGCGTCACATGCTGAGGCACCAGGCCGAACTGAGCGCGCATCCACGTGGAGTCCAACGCGTTAGCCTCGCGTCCATCCAGCAAGATGAGACCTTGGGACGGTTCGTAAAGGCGCATAAGCAGCATCAACAGCGTCGATTTGCCAGCTCCACAGTCGCCAACGATGGCTAGACATTCCCCAGCTAGGACCGAGATATTGCAACCTCTTAACACGTGGAAATCGGGTCGTCTCGGGTACGAGAAATGCACATCAACTGCCATTATTGCACCGGAACACACAGCAGGTCGCGGTAATGGGTTCATCACGCTGTTATGACGTTTTAACGGTGTACCCATATGTAAAAACAGCTGAGATGCCGCCTGTTTCGCCCGAATGACTGCTGAAACGCTTGGGATTACGTTTCCCAATGCGTGACTTCCGATGATCACGCCGAGAAGTGTCGCGACTATTTCTCCTGGTTCTGCTTCATCGTCGTACACTTTCTTCCCGCCGTACCACAGACCGATAGCGCTCATCGCCCACAGCGTTCCAGTCAACGAGGCGTGTAGAGCAGCACTTCTGCCATGCACGAGAATGCGCTGCTTCTCTGCGATCCGAACACGAAGCGCGTGCTTCTCACGGGCTCGACGCTGCGCATTTAGCGCCAATAGCGTCTGGATGTTGCCCACTGCTTCAGCTGCGACAGCGTCCGCGTCGCTATCCGTTTTGTTTTTACTTCGTTTAAACACCGAAATGACACAAACGACCAGTGGCGTTACACAAGAGACGGCGAGTGTCAAGTCCCAGAGCGCCATAAACGCCACGATGAAGCCTCCAACGAACTGTAGAGAGAACCTACAGACCTCTCCTAGCTCCGGCCCCAGTCCTTGGCGAATAATCAGCGCGTCTCGAGTGAATTCAGCGCCGAAATCTGCAACGACAGCCTTGTTGGAGTCAAACCACGACTGACTCTGCTCTAGTAGAAGATGCCGCAGCACTTGCTCTCTCAGCGCTCTTAAAAGCCTCTCAGAGTAGTGAGAGAGACACAAGTGAGCAGCATACGCAGTGATACCCAGTGCTAGCGACAAGAGCATCAACGTTAGGGCTGCGAAGTCCACATCGTGACGATTATACGGAGTAAAAGCGTTTAAACAAGACTGCACTTGTCTCGCTAGCAACGCCCACAACGTGCCGTGCATCATTGCAGCCAAAAGGCCCATAGTCATCACGAACAGGCCTCGACGTGTAGATAATCGAGTCACGAGCTGTCGTAGCGATACGGAGTTTGGCTCGCGCTCTTCTTCTCTTTCTTCTACAGCCACGCGACCTTCTCGAAGTTCTCGAAGGGCATCGGCGATGGCTGTCGCGCGATGCAAGCTGCAGTCTTGCGCATTCCACGTGGCATCTAACGTTCGATTGGACGGTCGAGTGACGACGCCTGTAGTCGGTATCATGCGCTTCATGGACTCGACGGGCATCGACAGCAGCGCGTAGTCCCCTCGACTCGAGTTCGAGTCCATAGCATCGACGTCTACCTCGTGATCGTCGCTGTCATCGAAGAGTTGACTGCTGTTGAAGCTAACTAAGCTGTCGGTGCCTGTGAATCCACTACTGTAGCTGCTCGAGAAGCTGCCGCGTCCTCCTCGAGGATGTGGAGGCCCAGGAGCTACGGACAACGAAGGCAGCTCCATCGTTTCGTCCAGCAGAGGCTCGTCTTTGGGGTGCAGACGCATCGACGACAAGTTCGACAATGGAGAGAGAAAACGTGCTTTTGACTTGTCGTCATCTACGGGAAGAGGAACGTGGTGGACCTAGCGGCATCTTTCGACTAGAGTGTCACCCAAGACCAGCTGGGCCAACTGAATGTAGCCATCAAAGGAAATTAGCTAAAGATCTTGGATCAAGGCAGGGTTTGGCTTGAGTGCTAGAGTTCTTGACGGTGCTCAAACACCCATTGTATGTAGCTCGTCTTCTTGTGTATGTGACGAATTCAGCTCTTTTGAAACGCAACACAAAGGTTCTGTCGCTTGCTGCACCTGCTGCAAAGCCGTTCGGTTTTTTCAGTGCCTATGTACCGAATGTTGACGATTGATTTCACATGCTAATTTTGCCACAATGACTGCGGCACTTTGTTTGAATACATGTAATAAAACACCTGTATCTAAGTAAAACAAGTACAGTACTGCACCCGTTTTCGCGGGGGCGGACCATATAGGATTTGCAAATAAATAATATTTAAGCTTACAAACAATAGCTTATTTGGATTCGGGATCATCACATCCGGAAGCTTATCAGAGGTCCAAGGGCGCGAAAACGGGGTGCAGTACTGTAGAAGTGTTGCGCATACTTTTGTACCACGGTAGTCTTGGAATACCGGTTCCCGAAGTCTAGTACTATGCAGTAGTTTACAAGCGTTAGATAATATTTCTTGTTACCCCTCCCTCGGAATAGGGAATACAAAATGACCAAAAATGATTGTTCTGAAATGCTTAACCATGGGAATGTCACTATTGTGGAACACGTGCAAAATAGACAAGCAAGGACACTTGTTGCTCGCACCCTTCCTTCCTGCTCGTAGCTCTCTCTGCATTTGTAGCGGGGTACAATCCAGTGCAACTCCAGGCTACATAAAGAGTGACCCGCCACTCTTGTGGACACATGGTACACGGTACCAGGCGCTCTAGGAGCCTGTCAGCATAACTACATAGCTCCACTTGAGGTGACCTCAGCTTGTAAAGAATCCAAGCTAAGCTTACTTACAAATTCATAAGTCTTACATCTACTCTTCTAAGTAGCAAACTGTTCCCTTTGAGGCCGGGAACACGTGGACTAACGTTCACTTGGGTAGTGAATACCCTTAAGCACTTCCTCTGTGCAAGCTACTGTGTGACCCCGTCACACTTGGTAGCACTCGTAGTCAATCCTACGCCTTCGAAATAAGATTGGACTACCTGAATCCTCTGTGTGCTTTACGTCTGAGCCCCGATGGACCGAAGTGATTTTCCTTGCTTGAGCGACTCACAGTACGAGTCTGCTCGAGAGATGGGAGGCATCTTTAGACAATATTTCCTTCGCAGCTTGGTGGCGGCGTCGCCTGCCGAACAGCACCAAACCGTGGTGCGTTTGAGGCCTACGAGCGTTGTGGCATCGCTCACGTCCGCGAGAGCTTGGAGGCTTCGATGGACGTCACCCAGGCAACCGGGCCTAAGCCGGTAAGGCTGGAGGTCACCGCGTTTGAAAGGAAGCAAGGAATGAACCTTCACTTCTGGACCCGTGAGGTGGAGATCGCCATGTAGACGGACCTCATCTCGGACGAGCCACTTCGAGTGGATTTTTCCCTGTCCAACCTTGGTGGACGTGCCAAGCACTGGACATACACCGTGTGTGAACATCTTGAAGTCGCGTTCCTACCGGCGAACAGCGAGTTCCGCCAGCGCTCACGCGTTCTCGCGTGTAAGCAAGGTAAGCGTGAGCCACAGTAGTACGTGCAAGATATGCGCACGTTGCTGGCATCTGTGGCAGGGAATTCTCTGTCTGAAGACATCAAGCCAACAGTCTTCATGGACGGCCTGAAGGTCGGTCCTGATCGCACCCATCTATTCCGGGTGCAAGCGACAACTATGGAGGAGGCGAATCGAATCGCCCTCTAAGAAGAGTACCGCCACAAAATGGCTGGTACTCCTCGGGAGGAGGAACATCGCCACGATGAGGATGGCGTTCCTTGGGAGGCGGAGCATCGCAGCAATGATGCTGTTGCTCTTGCTGTCACGCAGCCCGTTGATACCGATGCGTTCCACAAGTCCGAAGGCATGGACTTTGTAATGGGCCCATCCATTACATTAGTTGGAAGATTTTCTTACATAAGTAGGTACATCAGCACACGACTAGCGTGTGCTAAAATGCTTCCATGCCATTGACTGATATAGGGGGAGCCAGACCCATTATTAGCCAATTGAACTATGACGTGTATTTTAGTGGCCAGGGCTGTGGCCTTGGTCCTAAAATAAAGTTAGAGTTGCTTTTTTCTTAAACCTAAGACTCAGTCGTCCTATTGCGAGCTTCCTCAAGACTATAGTGTAAGCAAGTAATGGAGTAAATACCTGGCCCGTTACACCTGGTAGCACTTTGTAGTCCTTCCAACGGCCAAGTTCGACGTGCGCCAAGACCTCGACCACGCTGCTTTCCCCCATCTCACTCGGATCGAGTGGGAAGCTCTCCACCGCCTCGCGGCGGTGTCCGGAGAAGCTGTTGTCACGTCGCTGTTGCGCTCAGCGACGCCCGACGAGCAGCGCGTTGCGGAACAAGAATTTATGGAACGCGATCTCGCTGATGCTAATCGGCGAGTGTCAACTCCCTCGCGTATCTCCACGAATGACGTCGTGAAGCTAGAGATGTCCACCTACTCCGGTGCCGGAGAAGACCGACTTCCGCTGAATCGCTGGTTTCGAGAGATCGACATCACCATCGCCTCGAGATTGATCGAGGCGCCTTCCGCGAAGGTCCACTTCCTCCTATCGCGGCTGTCTGGGAAAGCCAAGGAATAGGCCCTCGGCAAGTTGATCGTCGGCCCAACGCCTTCCCCACTTTGGATACCCTCCAGAGTGACATTCGGCTCGCGTTCGAGCCGCCGCATGATGAATCCCGAAATCGGGCAGACTTCTTCGCCCTTCGGCAAGACACGATGGCTATGTGCGACTACATTCAGAAGACACGACACCTCGCGTCGTGTATCGTGTCCAAGCCCATCGATATGGCCTCTCAGGTTCATGTGTTCGTGTTCGGTATGCACGAAGGTATGACGCGCTACTGCCTTACGAGATCGGACCCCTCTACACTCGAAGAGGCATTTGATCTCGCATTACGCGAGAACTACGTGATTGTGGCGTCATACGCTCACGCGCTGCCCGCTTCAGCTCGGGAATCTGAGCCCGAGCCCATGAACATCGACGCCATCGATGCGAGGAGCAATCGTCAGCGTCATGTAGCGCGTCGGAACGGTACTCGGAACAGTCGTTCTCTCGCCTGCTTCCGTTGCCGGAAGGTCGGTCATCGCGCGGCGGAGTGCCGCGCGCCAGCTCCAGTGCTTGCGCATGTCGATGCCGAGCCTGTGCGTTCTGACCAGCAAACAAAACGGTCAGGGTCAGTAGGTTCGAGGCGCCCTACTGGCTGGAATGGAGGTTCGGGTTCCCCGGTGGCGGTCGAGCAGGGGCTCCCGCAGACGAACGAGATGGCGGTCGAGCAGGGGCTCCCGTCAATTGAGCCGGTGGTCGAGCAGTTGGCGCTCCCGCTGAACACTAGCGCGGTCGAGCAGGGGCTCCCGCTAGAGAGGGGTGACATCTCGCTCAGTGAGAGCGACTCATCATCCTCGAGTTCGCACTCGAGGCGGCAAAAGAGAAAGTCGAAGCGGCGTCGTCTGAAACCTCGCCGAGGGCCCGTACCAAGTGACAGCTCACCGACGGAGTCGGTCTGCGTGCTTGAGTATATGAAATGTATCTCCGGTCGCCGACGAGCACTCGAGCTTGCAAACCCACCTCGAGAGGCGGGGTCGATCACTCGCCTTCCAGGTCTCTCCTGGAAAAATCTCCTTCGCGACCTCAAGGACGGTTAAATCGAACAGGTATGCCTGATCATGGACACCGATTCGGCGTCGCTCGAAGTGAATGCAGTCAGCGATGACGACGCTCCCTCTCGCCCGAAGAGCGCTGAACCGAAGTCGGCCCGCGAGGAGCGCTTCGGACCGCAACCTTGGGAAGTGCTACGCGATGCCAGCAATCCAGTCTATGAGTCCGCCCGCGAATATGAAGATGTCTTTCCGGATAAGATCCCAGCTGAGCTACCAGCTGTCCGAGAAATTCACCACGAGATCGATCTCGTGCCTGGCTCGAAGTATTGTGTGACATGGCAGTGGCTGCTCCCACGTGATCAGGTAAAGCTATCGATGACTTTTTCGAGAGCCACCGTAAGGCGGGTCAGGTGCGTGAGAGCACATCGCCGCACTCCAGTCTGACCTTCTGCGTGAAGAAAGCCACGGGCGGATGGCGCATCGTCCATGCCTTCAACAAGCTGAATGACGCTACCATCCCTGCCCAGACGCCGACTTCTCGGAAGGACATGGTGCTCGACGCAATGTCGGGTAGTGAGGTCTTCAGTGCCATCGATTTGACCGATGGGTTCTACCAATCTCTCATAACGCTGAGCAACATACCACTCACAGCGGTAGGCACTCCCAGTGGTATGCTGTGGGAGTGGCTTGTTATGCCACTAGGCTTGAAGATTGCTCCCGCCACGTTCAATCGCATGATATCCCATGTGCTGCGCCTGCTCCGCGATTTCGCACCGAGTTACTTCGACGCCATCTTCGTACACATCCGCGCTGAGGGAGGCCTCAGCGCTTGAAGTCCACATGAAACATCTGAGGCAAGTTTTCCACGTGATGCGCGAAAACAAGCGGTATCCCAACTTAAAGAAGTGCATATTTTGCGCGCCGGAGATTCCGGTGCTTGGCTGCTTTGTGAGCAAGAACGGCGTCCGCGCCGACCCCAAGAAAGTGTCGTCGATATGTGCGTGACCTACGTCACAGAATCCCACTGAATTGCGCCAGTGGCTGGGTCTCGCAAACTATCTCCACAAGTACACAAAGAATTTCGCCGGATTGATCGAGCCGCCATCTTCGTTGTTGAAGAAAGATGTGTCGTGGTCGTGGACTTTCGCACATCAAGCCGCCTTCGACTTG